ATAAAGTTAATTATTTTCCATAATGTAACGATAAAACTTAAACATTCATATATTTTAGATTCATTGCACACTAACTGAAATATTTCAGGTCTTTTATTGTCTTAATATGTATTTTTGTCCGCAAAGAAAAATACTTTTTTTCAGAAACACAATATGGAATAGTTAAAAATAATTGCACAAATAGTTGATTTTAAAAATGCAAACTGTAAAACAAAAAAATTAATAAAGAAGGGATTCTTTGATGTATTTATGGTCTAAAAACTGACTAAAAACACAGCTCCAACTGTGTGTCAATAGGGCCCCTATTTCAGCATTTCTGCTTCCCTATCTAATCAGTTATGAAATTGTGGCTCTTAATTTTATGCTCTAAAAGTAGGAGCTACAGTTTATCATCTTATAATACTTCATTTAGAGAATTATAGTATGTATTTCTCTGGTTTTCTGAAAGCAAGGTTGATTTGTATCTTTAAATTGTCCCAAAAGGTTGTGTGTCTATGTCTTGCCCTGTGATGGACTGGTCACCTGTACCCCACCTTTCACCCAAAGTCTGCTGGGGGAGGCTCCAGCCCACCCAGACATTGATGGCCAACTTGTAGAAGGTGGATTGATGTTTTATTTGGTTACTCTTACAAAGCCAAGTTATTAACCAATTCTTAGTGGCACATAACTATCCAAACTCAAATGTATACATTGCACAAACAAAATGAATTAAACACCTTTATCATTTGACTCTAGTTTTACAACTGCTTATAAGATATTGGTGATTATAGTTTGAAACAAAAACAAACATTTTAGAATGGGTAATAGCTATATTTGTTTATTTCTTTAAAAGCGTTTCTTTTACTTAAAGCTGGGAATCGACAGCACCAACTTTAGCTGTTTGTCGATGTCCCTTTCAGGTCAGAATTTTTCCCCTGTTACATCAGTCATGGGGAGATAAATGTAACAGAAATCAACAGAGTTCCAGGGGCTCCAGGGGCTCCAGGGGTGAGAGGTTTAACTCAACTCATTCTTTCTCTGACTGGAGGTCTCCCACTTTTCTTTCTCAAGGTGAATCTGCTTAACTTCCTGCTAAAGGTTTGTTTGGGTGAACTGACCCTTTAAGATAAACACAGCTGAGCCTGATTGGAGCCGTCAGAGTGTTTGGAGTTAGACAGACTGTGGGATCTGGTGTGTCAGTGGGTAAATGTATGACCTGTACCTTCCAGAACAAACAGACCTGAACTGAATGATCCGGTCCTCACTGTACATACATTTTAGAGCACTAAGTCTCTGTCCTAAATACAGTTAGTACTTTAGAGGATTTCAGATGTTTTCTCTTTCTCTGTGTTTATATCTTATATCACAGATATAAATCTGTGTGAGACAAAACTACTGAGTTAAAAATTAACAGCCAACACTGGAGGTGCTTTGAAAAGTCAACTGAAACAGAGCTGACTGAAAGCTTTAGTTCTTTGCAAACACTACCACCTAGCGTCCAAGATTAGCTACTACAGACAGAGCAGTGATTAAAGCAACTAGAACAGCTTTAATGTTTGCATTTTTTCCCCTGTTCAAAATGATACTCAAATCCAAACTCTTTTTACCGACAGAAAGCAAAATCTTAATTAGGTCAATTTAAAATTATGGTTTTAATTTAAGGGATTAAGGAGGTCTTCGTACCAACCTGTCCCTCTATTTAAGAAAGGGACCGGAGGGTGTGTTCCAACTAAAGAATCGGAATCAGAATCCAGTTTATTGCCAAGTAGGTTTGCACTTACAAGGGATTTGACTTTGTGTTGTTGGTGCAGACAAAAAACAAAATAAGATAGAATATATATATACACAGAAGCTATATACACACAGTAGACTGTGCGTTAATGTAACGCAGAAATCCTGAATGGGGGAGAGAAACATTGTCCACGGGCGGCTCTTGGCCTTGTTGATAAGGCCAGTAGCATGGGAAAAAACTGTTTTTGTGACGGGAGGTTCTGGTCATGATGGACCGCAGCCTCCTGCCAGAGGGAAGTGACTGAAATAATCTGTGACTGGGGTGTGAGGGATCAGCCACAATCTTCCCTGCACGCCTCAGAGTCCTGGAGGCGTGCAACTCCTGGAGAGATTGCAGCCAATCACCTTCTCTGCAGACCGGATGACACGCTGCAGTCTGCTCTACAGAGGAATCACAATCTTAAGCCTCCCTGGTGAGATCTATTTCTGGGTTCCAGAAAGAAGGGTCTCTCGGATAGTTGAATCTTGGATTCAAGAGGAGCAGTGTGGTTTTTGTCCTGGTCATGGAACACTGGATCAACTCCACACCCTCAGCAGGATGTTGGAGGGTGCATGGGAGTTTGCCCAACCAGTCTACATGTGTTTTGTGGATCTGGAGAAGGCATTCGACCATGTCCCTCGGGGGAGCCTGTGGGGGGTACTCCGGAAGTATGGAGTACCAGGCCCTTTAATAAGGGCTGTTAGGTCTCTGTATGATCAAATCATCATCCAAACCAACCAGGCCGTGTGTTAGAAAGTAATCTACAGACATTGAAAATTTTTTTGAGTGCAAGTCACCATTTTTTGAATTTCCATGGCCAAGCCCTAAACAGTTCTCTGTTCCTTGATATTATCGTTGGATTCTTTCTATGCTCATGGTTTTCCAGTTTTTCATGTGTTCATTTTTACCTTGAGTCAGTTTTCTTTAGTAGATTTTGACCTTACAGCTCCATTTAGCTCCATGTTTGTGCTCCACTCTCTGCTCCTGCTTCCTAATCATCCTCATCCATTCCACCTGCTTTATTAGTTTCCAGCTGCAGCAGACAATAGCCTACTCTAACAGGTCTGTTTCATTCAGTCCTCACAGGTTTTTTTAGTCACCACCAAGCCTGTCACAGTTTCTTTGTCTGTTTCTGAAATATCATACTTGGCTCGAAGCTTGTAAATTCACTTATTAAAACTTTTCACCATGGTTCCTCTGTCTACACTTCGGTTCACTCCAAGAACCATTAATTCTCTGACAGTCATTGACTTTCATCAGCCAGGAAAGGGTTGCATAACCAAAGATTAGAGGCTTGTCAAGATGCATTCAGACCTAACGCGGTGTCCGTAGCGATGGTGTTGGATCTACATGGTACACCTTTGCAAACTGATGGCTGTCACCACTCCACTCTCACCTGCTACTTGATAGATCTGGGGTGCTGTCAAACAGCAGGGCCCACATGGAGAGAGTGGTGAAGTAGAAAAGAACGTTTCCATCGTGTCACTATGGAGCTAGAAGGGTCTCAGTATTCACAAACTCATCCACACATGCACAGGACAAGATCCACACATGCACAGTATATTTATATATATATATATATATATGATTTGTCTTAGTTTCAAAACATTGATAATGTAGATATGAAAGGATTTTACTATATTATTGTTGATATTAAAACATCTAACACTTCTTGTGACATGTCGAGGAGGAAGAATAGACTGACTGCTTCGTGAAGCACCCAGTCATTTGCAGAGAGGGATAGGAAAAAGAAGGAGCCGTCTATGAAGGACTATAAGTGTTTTGGGGGGAATCGATGTTTTTGACCAGATAATTTGATCATTTTCTTCATGTAGAAAAAACAGGTGGTTGATCTGTAAAATGCTAAATCCCTTTGTGACTTGGTGGACAATGCTGTAATAAACAGCTACCTGTTTTCACAAGGAGCTGTGTGGCCGACTGGATCAGCAGCTGCTGATGACCCACCAGACTTTCAGGAGCAGACAACAAGTAGCAGAGGCCTGTTGGCACATCAGGATGAATTAAATGCAGGGTGTTTTGGAAATGAACTCTGTTCATGTGTGAGGGGTGTAAAATCCCTCTGTGAGTGATAGTGGGCAGAAAATGTCATACGTTCAATAACTGCTCCTCAGATCAGATCGAGAACTAATCTTTACTCAGTGTCTGAAGTTCCTGTATGTTAAATGATTTATCATAGATAGGCTCAGGTTGTTCCTGTCATTTTTTTGTCTTCCGCTTTTGTATCTTGATAAAGAATATTATCTCAATTTGTGTTTATCGGTTATAAAATATAGGAAAAAACAGATGATATTTTTTGTTGTTCATAACACTTTTTATTGTTTGAACATTGTCTTCTGAACCTTACAGTGTGTTTTTTATTTGTCGGGTTAACTTCAAAGATTTCATTACATTTCATTTTGTAAATATGTTTTTTTTTTTCTCAAATGGGTCATGGGTGGTTAGAAAAGTTGGATTCTAAATGATTTCTCATTTTTCTGTTGATTAATTCCACATCTTAAGAATTTACTTAGTTAAAATAGACTTATTTTAGATAAATTAGTAACTTAAGGGTTGTAATGATGTCTTTCATATTGAAATGCTCTTAAAAATGGCTCTACAGCATGTCAAAAAGTAAAAATGTGCCATGGCAAATTTGCATCATAAAGGATTAAATTCATTTGGAGCAACACGTTGTGATTAAATGCATAACAGACAATCCTCCAAAAAGGGTTTATTTCAAGTTAAATAGGCTCATTGGACACAGTTATCTTCATCGTAAACTCTGACGGCATCAACAAGTGCATCCAGCAGTCCAACAGGTTCCAGGATGGCAAGGATGCGACCACCTGCTGGTGGCGCTCGAATTCAATAAAACCGAGGGAGACCAGATGAATTGAGTTTAGTAAAACCTGCACGAAAAAAAAATGCGCATTCCCAATGAGCTCTTCAGCGCCTTAGTGAATATTTGCGCCAGAAAAAAATAATCTGCACACATCAGAAAACAGCAGGAAAAAACTCTTCCTTTTCTGTTAACAGATTTAAAAATCAAGTCCTTATCTTGATCATGAGAATTATGTTCACACTGAGTAAAATACATTCACATCATTAGGTCAGTTTGACCGCTTCGACCATTTTGCCAACATAACTTTTATGAAATTAAAACCCCAAAGCCTTACAACATCAGTACAAAGATTTATATAGATTCCACTTCCTCATGTGGTAAATTTTTTTTGATTGTGCTGCTGCACAGTTTGCCGCGCGTGCACGTACAATCGGGATCCGAGTGCGCGCAGCGGAGGAGAGCCGAACGGTGAAGCAGGCACAAGCCGCCGAGCGCGCAGGGAGAGCCGCAAACAGAGACTGCGAGGAGCGCAGAGGGAGCGTCAGAACTTCAGTGCACACGGTAAGAAGCTCGGATGTTGCTTCATGGTCGTGATTATGTCCCCATAAGGAAGATCCTACATGGGTCTACTGTATTTTTAAGCTTTTGTCATGTTTTTTTCACGTGTCCTTCTGATGAGGAAGACGCACAGTGCGCTTCTTTCATGGAAGCATGTCAGACAATAGATGCATGAGATGTGATGACATAAAGTCAGAGAAAATATCTGGAAATGTTTCTGAAATTTCAAACATTGAGTTTAAAATTTCCTAAATGTGCACGCGCCTAGAAAAAGGGGTGTGTCGGTCTGAAGTAACGCGCCTAGACACCGATTGTGGATTTTTCTACTTTTATTGATGGGAATGCGCCTCCACGCGCTCCATTTATGCTGCTTTAAAAAAAATTGATTTATTGAATTAAAGTTCTTTATTGTTCCACAGATTATAATTCCTTAGGTTGCTGAAATTAGATTAGGAGGTGGATGCTGTCTGGATTTCCACCCAGAAATAAAGCCCGTCATCAGTGTCTTGTCTACATGTTTCTCTCACTCTGCGTCCGTAATCGCGTTATGTCACGATTCCTATGAATTATTGATGCCACATTCCTTTTTTTATTGCTCTGGGAAGAGACGGGGGGGGGGGGAGGATGGAAGAAGAGGGGGAGGTGGGGGGTGGGATGGAGATGGTTGGGGCACCTGAGTCTTCTTCCCCCCATCCACCTCCTCACATCCATGCATTTCAAATGTTTCCGCAGTTGTTGCTGCGTCTCCTCACCAGTTATTTCTGCACACAGTCAAACTTTATCAGCCTTCCTTTCCTGTTAATTGCCTGGTCCTTTGTTTGCCGCGGCACGCATGCGCACTAGGGGCAGGGTGTGGATGGGAGACGCGCCACCTTGCCTGTAAATCAGGATCGAGAGAAGGAGGAGGAGGAGGAGGATGCTTTTCTCCCTTTTTTTTTGTTCGGTTCGCTGTTATTGCGGAAAAGAAACGTTAATGTGGTGTTTGAAGGACTTGTTCTAAAACGAGCCTCTGCATGGTATCTAAATATAAAGAATTTGATTTGCGATTAGTGTGTGAACTGAGCCGCTCTTCTATAGACAACCGTTACCTGCTCAGGGAGATGCGCTTCTTCATGCACACAAACTGCTTCAATAAAATCCAACAGTGGAAAATTGACCAACTCTATGAATGCAACCAGAATTCCATCTATGAATTCCAAATTTAGTCAGATCCATTTCAATAAAAATCCTAAATACATCCATTTTATTTTATTTTAACTGCATTTTTTCCAATTTCTTTTGATTTCATGCTTATCTGAATTAAAATTTGGCTAATAATTTTTTTATATAACTTGTAAATATTCATCTTTTAAATATACTGTATTTTAAATTGTTTTTATTTTAATTTGTTAGCCATTTTCAATAATCAAATTTTTTTTTTTACTTTATATTAAGTATTGATTTATTAAGTTTTAATGAAATTTTCTTTTCGCTTGACTTTTTTAAATTTAACTGAAGATATATTTTGGGCCGACCAATAATATTTGATCACTACCTGCAGTATTTCAGCACTAGCCGTGCCTAACACTGCTATCAGTATATTATTTTAGCTAATAAGGTGACCTCCGAGTCAGGCGAGCAGACACGCCGCCGTGATACTTCGCTAACATGTTTGTATTTACTTTTGAGGCCATGTGCAGAAGTAGGCAACACAAATCTATGCAGCTGATCCAGAAAACACATCTGTATGACTGAGAAGATGTGCGCGACGCCTGCCATGCCAACATTTCTACCTGTATCTGCTTACTTATACAACCTGAAGGCATGTTTTAATTTGTGCTGCGTTTCTTGTTAAAAGCTGTGCACGCGCATGCTTCTGCAGTCTGAACGGCTTCTTTAAGCTGCTGCTCTCTGCTCCTGTAAGCTCAGCTGAGTGATAAGATCGGAGCTCGACCTCCACTGTTCTTGCTCAATCTCCTTCCTTCCTTTGTGAATTTCTTGGAAACTGACCACTCTTCACAGCCTGTTGTTTAATTCTTGCTAAAGCAATTTGCAGCAGCACCAAGGCAGAAATATGAAGTGTTTACTGTGTTTAATGCTCTTATCACAGTTGACTTTCTTAAACCCGATATGGCTTTGGGCTGCATGTAGCCTTAATGTTTTAGTCTCACTGCTGCACATCGGCCGGTCAGGAATGAGGAACTCTAAGGTTTCAATTTCCTGTTTGAGGAAGCATGACTGTGTATTAAAAGACTGTAAACTTTTTTTTCAATGTTTATTTTGGTGCTGTTAAAGCTGAAGTGCAATCAAAGAGCAGAGGAGGGTTCAAAGATGACTGGTGCTGTGTGACAAATGGAAGAATCAGGTTCTCCAAAGTTTCCTCTTTTCAACAAGTTTTGTTGTTACTTTGCTTTCTGTTGACATCCAAAGGGGATTTATTTTCCAGTTTCCATAAATGACTTCATGCACCATAAATATTGTTGAATTTAAACTGTCAGGCATGAATAGAAATATTTCATCCAGAGCTGTAAAGAACTTTTCACCTTCTTACATATCTATCTGTACTTTAATGATTTAGATTCAGATAATCAGACACAGAGAAAAATGCACTAAATACATGTGCACTCCATCATTCCTCTCGAAAAATGCCTTACAGCAAGCCACACTGAATGTGTGTATGATCTTTTAATGCATTAAGACAGGTCCACTCTTATTTTGAAATGCGGCTGATCCACCTTACTTACCCCATCACTGACTTCCTGTCTATATCATCTTTTTTTTAGAAATTGATGAACTTTACTCCATCGTCATTCAAAATTAGACCCCACCCTATCTCTGACAGATGAGGGAGGGAAAGCTCTCTGCCATGCCGCAGCTCAGCTGATAGAAATTACTGCATCAACTACAATGGCTTCTATTTGCAATGGAAAAGAAAGCAAACGTATGGCAGATTCTGTGATGGTTACAGGTTGTGCACCCATTCATAGTAGAAATGGCTATGAATATTAATTACTGACAGTGAGTCTGAAATAAACCTACAGTAGAAGAACTTTGGACAATTCCTTTCAGAGTATTGTTAAAAAAAAATCACAATATCTGAAGTTTTTCAACCATTCAATTTAATGTTATGTAAAAACATTTTAATGGGTTTCCATTTAAAATTTTATTGTTCTATTTAGAGATTCAAAGATAGACCTCATGGTGCGCAGGATCATTGTCCGGTTGTGTGTTCTAGGTGCTCCTGAGCTTACAGTGCAAAAAATGTAAATCTAAATAAGTAGTTTTTTCTTTGAATAAGTGCATTTTTCCTGGAATTTAGGAGGTAAGTGAGACACTTTGCCAATGGAACAAGAGAATTTAAATTAAAATGAGAAAATTGCATTGTCTTATTTCAAGTTCATGTAATCTAATTGCCTTGTGTTGCTGTCACTGTGCAGATTAACTGCTACAACAACCATGTTGTTAACTTTGAGCAGAAATGATCAGCTGCCTCAGATAACCTCTCACTGATTGTAGAAAGTGGGGGTGTTGTTTAGTTGGCAGGATTGGCGCAGTCAAGGAAATGGCTTCCTCGAGGGGAGGGGCTTATAATTTTTCATTATAAAATAGTGGTGGGCGCCTCAAAGAGCTGAATTCGCATAATTTAAATAGACATGCATAAATCAAGCATAGTATTACTTTTGGGCATGATTTTGATGAAGAAAAAGCATTAGTACCATAGTTAAAAAAAAAAGAGGAAAAAAAAGTTAACGCTGCCTAAGTCCTTTAATAGCATTGATAATAGCACAGTGTCTTTGAAGCAAGTACATTGAAAGATAAAGGATTGCCTTTCAAAGAAAGTAGTACACAGACATTTAATCATCCAAACAACTGTTTGGCTTTTGAATAAACACTAATCTGACTTTTTTTAATGATCTCTGAGCTTTAGGCCTTTAGCTTTATCTTTGACATGTCCTGCAGTTGGTGTTTCTTAAGCAAAAGTGCAGCAGAATTAATTCAGCTCCCCGCCGTGTCCATCCCATCCCCTCCAACAGTTTGATGGCGATGCATCATGTCCTCGTCCTCGGCAGGTCTTTCACCGAGAGCACCATCTGTCACATCGTGCCTCGTCTTCCAGGAAATTACAGCTCGTACCAAAAGCGACAACATTATCTGATATGTACCCCTGTGGGGTCGCAATGGATGAGCTCGGCTGAATCTCGGCTTTGCTCTGTGTTGAATCCCAAATCCACTCAGTTGTCCTGGTGGATGTTTAATCAGTGGGCGAGGGCAGATAAAGGGACAATCCGGCTGCCTGTGCTCTTCTCTGTGGAGCGGACTGATTTCTTCCTAAGAGCTGACCAGACGGTGGCAACACTCGCATACTTATGAGATTTTGATAACCAATCAAATCTCATTTTTATCATGCCAAGGACACTGGCACCTGTTAATGCCCGAAGGAGCATTTTCAGAGAAATAAACACTCCTGCTTAAAGATTAGGGGAAATTTTTTTAGAAATACAACCTGCGAGTGATTTACTTTTAATATGTGACCCTTTAGACATGTTGAACAACAGATGTGAAAAGCCAGGAGTGGAGCAGACGTTTCTCTTATAGTCTGTGCAGGACTTAATAATTAACTGCAGGTATTTTCTGACTCACTTGTACAGATGGAACTAAGAATCTATAGTATAGCAGCCATTTTGTTTGAAGGACAAAATGCAAACAAAATGAGCTATTTCTCTGGTTTAAATTAAAATGGGGGTTTAAATGGTGTGGACACAAAGATTTATTAGACATCTTCATGTCAATGTGCATAAATCAAGAGGGTTGGCATTAAAGATTAGGTTGTGTATGACTCAAATGAGTGTCATTGAATTGCTAATTTATTCAATTTAATAGAAAAGCTACAAAGCTGGATAGGCATTATGAATAATTTTCATTTCCTTTAATTGTGACAAATGATCTCAGACTCTCATGGTGGTGAGCAGCAGATCTAATTTTAACAGCGACAAACATGCAGACTTTATCTATAGAGTGGGGGA